CGGATGGGGGCCAGGAGCTGGGCGAAGAACCAGGGAACAGTAACAAAATCTCTGAGGATGACCCCTCCTCTGCTGCACCAACTGGAAACTCTTTGAAGTTTTGCTGATGCCTTGATTGCCCAGTGGCACCAGGATTTTGGCACTCAGTAATGTATTCGGCATTTCTGATCTCTGGAATGAAGCTTGCCAAGGGGTTAAGTAATATAATATCTTTCACTTCTATGGAACTTTTCATCTTGAAAGAACTCAAAGGGCTTTATTAGTGTAACCAACTGCTGTACAAATTATACACAAGGGTCAGTTCCTTCTGCCCCTCTGCCCCTCTCCAAAGCAGATGCGTTCTTTCCTCCAGAACTGAGGGGAAGAGCAACACTTTAATAGAGACAAACTCAGCAAGTCTAGGTCCTAAATTACAGACTTAAACATTACAAAGAACTGCATTTTAGCACCACACATTTGAAAATGAGTTTTTTCTAATCTAGCAAGACAGCTGCTGATATCACAGCCTCTTCAAATAGCCAGCGAAAAACCCACCCTGCGGGGCTGGTTCAGGCAAGGTGCCAAGTCTGCAGCTGCAGGGGGCTGGAGGTCAGGTTGCAAATCTAATGTGATATTTACTGAGTGTACTCTAGTGCTGATGATGTGGAGCAGGAGCTACTGCATGCTGACTGGGAGTTCTGTGGCGATAAGAGCTAGAGGTCCCTGGAGACTCAGGAAGTCTCCCCCGTTATCTCAGCTCTGGCTGGGACAAATCATACTCTCCACATCCCAGCCTCCTTCTGTTTACCAGCATTATTCCATCCCTGTTTTCATGCTTCCCTCCCTAGCCCTTAATCATGTACATGTTACATTCCCCATCCACAGCCCATGCAGAATAGAACCCTCCCAGCTGGTACGACAGAGGAGTTTGGGGCTGGTGAATGGGTGGCTGGCAGAGGAGGAGGAAGTTACCCTTTAAATCTTTTGGTCTCACAGCTGGAAAGCCCAAACGATGGCTTCACAGTGGGCCCAGATTTGCTTTCATACGCCCCACCTCCAACATTAGGATGTGGAGAGACGCAGTGAGCCTCTGACATAATTTCTATCACCTGATTGTCCATATGGTAATTAAGCTTCATAGAGTCTGAGCCTGGAAGCAGACCTGGGTGGCTATAGGGGAGAGCATAGAGATTGCAGTCTTTGAGGCTGGGTAACCCATAAGGTTCATAGCACTTTTGAGATTCTGCAGCCACAGAGTTTAATTTGGGCAGGAAAGAGCCAGTAGTTTGTTAAAATTGCTTAAAAAGTTTGAAATAATTTATTTTCTGAAACTTATTAAAAATATTCTCCAGCTGTGAAAGAAAGAATAATTATAATGAACTCTCTGTGCACTTCAGATGTGCACTAAAATTTGAATCAGTTTTAGATGTACATAAACAATTGCCCATAAAGAGAACATTGCCTTTCAAGGCAGTCTGCAAAGAAATTCATTTTTAAATGGAGCTTGGGCCTTTTTTTGGCTTCCCTGTTATAGATAAAAGGAGCCTGACATGCTGTGTCTCCCCTCTTCCCCCTCCCCCAGATAGTTTCCCATTCCCTCTTTTGTTTTCCCCCTTAAAATAGCAGGAATGTCAAGTCTGATCTTCCCTGGTTTTAAAGGCAGGATTTCATTTCTCACGTCATGTTTATTATAGGTTCTCTTACCTTGATAAAGAGGCTTTTAGCACATACATTCTTTATGCACAATGTTAGTCAGTCATCTTTCAGGTCCTATTTATACATCAGAGATAAGCCAAAATTCCAATTTCTTTTTCTTTGCAGATCACCTTTCATTACCTGTGGGGGTGTATTAAAATATTAAAGTTCTGATTGTTTCATATACTCTTTCTTTCTTTAAAGGGAGTTGTTGGTGGTGTTGGGCCTCCTGGATTTCCTGGGCTGAGAGTGAGTGTAACTTTTTCCCATTTATTTGAACTTTAAAATATTTACATTTTGTCTCTGTGTCCAGAATCCTAATACTAAATCTCAAAACTAAGAGATTCTGGGGTTATTTAAATCTAACCTTATTTTAATGAATTGCTCTGGTCATCTAATAAAATATTTTTACAACATTGCTCTTCCATCATTAGAGTTTGAACATTTGTATACTTAATAACATAAATCCAGTCTCGGCAGATCATAACTTTTGTTTGAAACAGCTCAGCTTGCCAGTTTATTCCCTCTAAGTCATTTTGACTTTGCTGTTAGGTGCAATATTTTCCACATACAATATCGTTAAGGTGAATAGTCCCAATTCATCACTGGCGTAAATTCATTGTGTTCGGGGCAGAATTTGGCCTGATATAGAATCCTAGAGATATACGGCTGGGTGGGGCTTTGAGAGGTCACCTATTCTAATGGTTCTCAACCAGGGTACAGTCAGTACAAACTAAAATTTCATACAGACAAGTACTTGTTTATACTGCTCTATATACAGTACACTGAAATGTAAGTACAATATTTATATTCCAATTGATTTATTATATAAATTATATGGAAACATGAGAAAGTAAGTAATTTTTCAGTACTAGTGTGCTATGACACGTTTGAATTTTATGTCTGATTTTATAAGCAAGTAATTTTGACATAAGGTGTAACTTGGGGGTGCGCAAGCGATATCAAACTTCTGAAAGGGGTAGAGTAGTCTGGAAAGGATGACAAAAACTGACCTATTCCATCCCCCTGTGCTGAGTCAGGACCTAGCCCATCCCTGACAGATGTTTGTCTAACCCAGGGGTCGGCAACCTTTCAAAAGTGGTGGGCCGAGTCTTCATTTATTCACTCTAATTTAAGGTTTCGCATGCCAGTAATACATTTTAATGTTTTTAGAAGGTCTCTTTCTATACGTCTATAATATATAACTAAACTATTGTTGTATGTAAAGTAAATAAGGTCTTCAAAATGTTTAGGAAGCTTCATTTAAAATTAAATTACAATGCAGAGCCCCCCGGACCGGTGGCCAGGACCCGGGCAGTGTGAGTGCCACTGAAAATCAGCTTGCGTGCCGCCTTCAGCACACGTGCCATAGGTTGCCTACCCCTGGTCTAACCTGTTTTTAAAAACCTTCAATGATAGGGATTGCACAACCTCTCTTAGTAATCTGTTCCAGTGTTTCACTATCCTTATAGTTAGAAAGCTTTTCCTAATATCTAAAAAAAAAATCACCCTGACTGCAGATCTAGCCAATTACTTCTTGTCCTACCTTCAGTGGACATGGAAGACAATTGATCATGGTCCTCTTTATAACAGCCCTCAATGTATTTGGACTGTTATCAGGTTCCCATTTCAGTCTTCTTTTCTCAAAACTAAACATGCTTTAAATATGTCTAAAAGCTGAATCTCACAATGCTGTTTCCTGTGTCCCATGTTGTTATATTCTTTAAATGCTACTTTGTTGTTTATAACATAAAATAAAAAATCCTTTAAAAGTAAATTATCCTTTATTGATTTTTTGTTATTGCATTAGCCCAGACAAGACACATTTTCTAGCTAGATAAACCCATTGTGGAGTCAGAGCCTGGTCATGAAAACACTTACACGTATGGATAATTTTACTCACATGAATTGTCCCATTTGAGTCCATTGGATCACTCCTGGGGTAAAGTTACTCATGTGCTTAAGTGTTAACAGTATTAGGAACTTCATTTGGATTACAGTTAGCTGTTCTCTTCCTTACCTTGGCTTCATCTGGAATTTTTCTTCAAAGACTCTAACAATTATATCAATCTGTATGTGTCTTATTAAGAAACCATAATTTACTTATTGGGAAGTAACCTCTCGGCCCAGAGCTGCTAGGAATTTGCCAGGTCTGACTCAAGCTGTTAATTAGGGGTTGTTAAAATAGATGGAAGAGCCACTAATGGATGTGTATAGTGTACTTGAGGGTAGGACACTCAAATTTCCTTGGTGGAGAGACATGTATCTGAAAAGATAGGTTGGAATTGGTGTTTCCATTGATACTGATCTAATGTTGCTAGGAACAAAGCCTCCTAACTGAGAATGAATGAGTTTGTGCAGTTATATTTTCCTTAGCGGACCAGTAAAAATGGGGTGTAATAAGCATCCTGTCACCATGAATATAGAAGTGAGAAAACAGAGATGTTTAAGTGGAGAAGGCTTTTGCTAACAGATGCATTTGGAGGACAGTGAGGGTGAAGGTTGTAAAATTGGATTCAGAAGCTGTGAAACAGTTTTTGAGCTGTGGATCAATCACCAAAGATTCTGCCATTTCTGGATCTGGATAATAGATTCTTACTTTACAAAATAAACATTTCTGCCTGTCTAGCAATATTTTTAGAAGTATTAGCCTAGTACTACCTTTGATTTTACACTTTTTCTATGTCTTGCTTTTGGTAAAATCACCAATTTAATTAAATCTCAGAACTGTTATTTGGGGCAGTCAGTGATGGGTGCCTCATAGAGAAATTAAACTTTGACTTTGAAGAGGCAAAGCCTGGAAGAGTAACGGTTTGAATACAAAGAAAATGTGATCTTCCCCAAACAGTCATATGGAAAGCTGGTAGGGGGACAGTGTAGGCACAGGGTGAGCCAAATAATGTGAAAGCTTCTATTCATCACACCCCGTCACACAGTGTCTCATTCAATCTTCCATTTCCTGACCTCTATTCTTATCTTCTTTTTGTTTGTCCTTCCCTTTCCAATAATTTAATCTTATTAAGCATTGTATCATTATATTGCTGTTAAAAAAGCAATAACAATTTTTTAAATGTTTAACCTAATTAAACCAACACAAACAGTAATGTGATGATAAGCTAATTTAGTGGGATTTCATGGTTTCCAGGGTACGGGACCCTCTCAGAACAGTAGATCTGTCACATTCTATGTGATAATGTTTGGTAAATTTCATCTTACCTGAAGTCTGGCCCTGATCCTGCAACTACATCTGTGTGGGTGCGTCCCTGTGCCCAGCATGGAGCCTTATATTTAGAGCTGGTTGAAAATTTTCAAAATTGCAAGATTTTGATGAAAAATGGTTAAGTGATGGTCAACATTTTCAACATTTTTTGTTGTTCATTTGCAACTGGCTCTAGTGGTGATATGGTGATGTTTGTCATAAGATAATTGCTACTGTATTGTGACACCAAACCAGAAAGCATGTGCTCCATGGGTGGATGGAGTACAGCTAGCAGGAGAGGCATGGCTACTTGGGTAGGTAAGAAAAGCCCCTGAATTTGGGAGCCCATCCCCAGTAGATAAGGAATAGCAGCTTCGTCTACTTGGCCTTATCCTCGCCATGTTCTGGCGTGGGGCTCCAGTAGCATAAGGTTTGTTTTCATGTGATGCCTCTTGGTGTGGCTTTCCCTCTCCTGCTATCCGTGCTCTGGATATGGGCTTCAGAAACTCAGGCTCTTCTGGGCTGGCATTGTGATACAAATGTAGTGCAGCAAGACTGCCAAAGCTTCCAAACTCAGTCTTACAGCTGGAATGATTTGCATGCTTCCAAAACATCAGGTATACAGGGTATGTATTCTACTGTGCTAAATAAATAAATAAAATCTGTGCTTCTAAATTATTGTCAGTAAAAGTAAGACAAGTTTTGACAGAAAATACTTAAACTAGCATTTCTACATTAACAGCTGCTTTTTTTTTAGCTGCTGAAATGAGTAGGGAGAGAGAAAATATCCACATGTGGACAACTACATATAATCTGGTCTAAGGTGATCTATTCAGACTAGTGGTTTTTAGCAAAACTAAATTGATGGTGTAATTTGATTTTGCTCTCCAAGGCCGTAAGTGGTTTGAGGACTGGTTCTTGTAAATACTGTGGGCCTGATCCTCATTTGCACTAAGGCCCTTTCGCACAGCTCCGACAGTGTAAAGGGGCATTCAGGTAGATGTGCTCTATATTCCTGTAACTGACGCTCACTCAAAGTACAGAGGCCTTAGGGTAAATAAGAATTGGGACCTGCCTCTCTCTGCACAGGTGAGATCAGCTAAAATGCTCTTGCTAAGAGTCTCCAGATCTGAAAGGTTGAGTGTTTGAGGCTGGACCTTCTGAGTGGGGACCCTTGACTCTGTAATGCACTCTTCTAGTCCAACAGAGCCAGAATTCGACCTTCAGAGTGTGTTGCAAAGCCTCTGTTTCCACTACTGCTCCCCCCGAGAAGGTGGCTTTCCAGGATTTGAGATTTTCGTGGCATAGGGAGTTTCTTTGATCACTGGACACGTTTGTACGCGTGTGTGTGTGTGTGTGTGTGTGTTTACAGTTAATGCAAATATGCTAAAAAGCTGTGAAAGTGTTTACAGATTTAAAAATAGCCAAATCTGAAAACCAAACTATGATCGCCATTGAGTTGAGTCTTGTGTGTGGCAAATACGCAGACAAAACATATGTGCAAAAGGATATATACCCTGCTTATGATAGGGAGCTATTGCTTCCCCAAAAGGTAATGGAGTAGTCAAGGTAGTGGGAAGGGAAGTGATGTGGTGCATTCCCATTGCAGCTGGATAGGATCCTGTGAACATTTTGGTGAATTTCAAAGCAACCTTCCTCCAACAGAAATTTGAGCCAGGGCTGTGTTGGAAAATCTGCTTCTTTTGGAGGTTAATTCTCCTAGGTAGATAACAGGCTTCACATGGTGACATTCCCTCTGGATTTCTGAACAGGGCTTTGGAACAACTTTAGAACAGATGGCCCCAGGGGAATCTACTGCAGGCTTTTAAATAAGCTCAGTGCACTGTGGAAAAGAACTTTGAGATCTATCATATTCGGTGCTGTGTGGATAGTCAGGCATTGCTGTCATAAAGCTCATTGTTGTGTACCTCAATATCAAGTTTCAGTGCTGTATTTCAAGGTGCTCCTAGTAACACAGGGAATCCTCAAGGCTACAGTTTGTTTTTTGAAGGTGTATTTACAAGGGACCGTGCTCCTTTAAAGGGATGGTAGAAGGCTGGCTCTGCTGGGGTTCCCTCTATAGCATGGCCCCTTGCTATACTGCACCCACACCCTGAATGTAATTTATGGCTTAAAGGCTGCCATCTGACCCTCACTTTTTAACTCGGACGCTGTTCAGGCATACTCCCATTTGCTGTGAGGACTGAATTAAAAAATAAAGACCTGAGCATTTGTCCCAAGGTGTTTAATATTTGTTATATACATTATGTTGTGACATGATGCAATGTAGTACAGCAGATACCAATGCAACATTAATTCTAGCTGAAGCTGACAGTATTAGTTCAAGTAGTGTATTTAATCTAATTATGTGCAAGATGAGAACTATGTACATTATTTTGTTTGTTCATAGAAGTGATGGTAAAGCAAGCAGCTGGGGAGAATTGATTTCAAGACATTTGTAAACACTTCCTGCTATTGTTTCTTTGGAAGTGTCAAAACTATTGCCAAGTACCAAATTCTGGTTGTCTGCATGATTCCGTCTGTCATGAATTACAAGGTCATGAGCCTTAGAAAGATGTAGACTTTGAGTAAACTTGCTACTGGAATTATCAGAGCACAGATTTTCTATTCAGAAATAACAAAAATGATGAATTAACATTTCTTTTTCTTTTTTTTAACAAGCTGGGACAAATTACCCTTTTCCTCCCTCAACATTCTGGAAACTGAATTTTTTCTCATTTTCAACCTTTTAGTAATGAGATAGAAGCATACTTTCCTCATTCTTTCTCACGAAACACGTAAATGTTGGATATCATGATTAGAGTATTACAAGCACTATTCTAATGGGGAAAATTGCAATTATACATTAGTGTATATATTTCTTCAGACTTAAGGTGTGGTTCTGTCTGAAAAGTAACAGCTTAACAGATGTATACAGAGTCTTATCTGCTGACAAAAATAAGTTTGTATTTGCTTTTTCACTTTTGTTAGCTCTCTGGAGCCAACACACCAAGAGTGAATTTTTATGCCTACTTGTGCATCCACATCAGAACTCTTTATGAAGTTCCATTCAGCTACACCTATGCAAACCTACTGATGTCAATGAGGTTG